ACTTCACGGAGAATTTCAAAGTTTTTAGGAAATTAGAGGCCACATGCCACCTACTGCTCTTTTCTCTCCGAAGATTAGAATCTAGCATCCATGCAGCTCAGATTACAAGCAAACGTAAACATAATCTAACCCCTAGCGAATTATCAGCGTATCTCTTATTAAAAAACAGACCAGATATTGTTATTTCTAAAGCAGATAAAAATCTTGGCACTGTTGTTTTAAACAAAGAAGATTACATAGCAGAAGGCCTTCGCCAGCTAGCTGACAGAAAATATTATTCTCCAGTATCTTCAGATAACCAAGCACTGCATGATTCTCTACACCGTGACCTCTCAGAAATTTGTAAAGTACACTCTGCCCTACTTTCTGAACGTGATGTCACTGCATTATTTAGCTCTTTCCCTTTTAAACCAGCTAAATTCTATATGCTTCCGAAAATCCACAAAAAACTTGTTGACGGCTTAGTACCGGGTAGACCAATTGTCTCTTGCATTGGATACTGCACCTCCCCGTCTTCTAGATTTATAGATTTTCACCTTAAAAACATCATTCATGAAACTGCCAACACTGTACTTGCTGACACAGATAGTCTAATCTCTAAACTTGCAAATACACATTTCCCTGCAAACAGCAAAGTAGTTACAGCTGATGTTGTCAGTCTTTACACAAACATGAATTGGCACGATACAATTTCTGCAATTGATGAGTTTTTGAAAGATGCTGAGCATCCATTGCGGCCTCTTTTGATTGCACTCATTGCCTTTGTTCTGAAAAACAACTATTTCAAGTTTGAAAACGTTTTGTATCATCAAGAACATGGCATGGCCATGGGCACTCCCATGGCGGTCAATGTAGCAAATGCCTTCCTTTTCATCCACGAAAAGAAAACACTGTCTATCTTTAAAGCTTCCATCTATCTTTTTGAAAGATTTATTGACGACCTCTTCCTAGTCATAGATGATAAGCTCAGCATAGAATCCTTGCAACAGTCTCTCTATTCAGATTTACCTGACATTAACCTCACCTGGTCAAATGTTAGCGATGAATGTGTCTTTCTAGATTTAGAACTCTTCTTAGACAAATCAGAGACTAATTGTAATGTCCTGTATCGTACATATCAGAAACCCAGGAATGCTTATCTTTACATTCCGTATAAGTCAGATCACCCAAAATCAAACTTCCGCTCATTTATCATTGCAGAACTCTGTCGATATAATAGAACTAATTCAAGATTGTCTGATGTTCTTACTATCCGTGAGCGTTTTTGGTGCAGACTTAGGCTCAGAGGCTATCCTCCACATTTCTTGGCTCCTATCTTCATGAATATTGAACCTCGTGTTACACATCATTCTGCTGCCAAGAAAGCGAAGACCAGCCACAACAGGAATACAATTACATTTGTTACTTCCTATCACCCGCATTTTGCAAGAAATCGTCTTAGAACGATATTAACAGAATCTTTCTCCTCTTCCAATGTTGAGATCTTCTATCGCAAAACGAAACAATTGTTTCACTGAAGCTGGTTTCTGATAAACATTTTCAAATGTTTGTTCTCTTTTCTCCATTCTCCATACTTTCATTGTTTGCAGGCTTAGTCGCCTGCATTTAGGCGGGGTCCAAGCTTTGGATCCCGCCTAAAATTCAATTCACCTCATGAATATAGTACTCATAGTTGCATGCGCACTTCATTCATGACACATGACACACATACACCTTGTGCAATTATTGCATGACCGTATTACCGTAGCATTTCCCAATGCCCTTGGGGCCCCTAGCGTTTTGGCGGCCCACATGTGTCAATACATTTTCTACCCACCTAGTGGGAGCATAAAATTGTGTTTCGTTCCACTTTACTCTTCACTCTGATGATCTACACCTAGTAGTGAAACCGGTCAGCCAAAAGTAAACTTTCAAAGAATGTCACACTTGTTTGTGCAGTTTGTGTCGGGGGTATCACTTCATTAAGAAGAATTACATTTGTTACTTCCTATCACCCGCATTTTGCAAGAAATCGTCTTAGAACGATATTAACAGAATCTTTCTCCTCTTCCAATGTTGAGATCTTCTATCGCAAAACGAAACAATTGTTTCACTGAAGCTGGTTTCTGATAAACATTTTCAAATGTTTGTTCTCTTTTCTCCATTCTCCATACTTTCATTGTTTGCAGGCTTAGTCGCCTGCATTTAGGCGGGGTCCAAGCTTTGGATCCCGCCTAAAATTCAATTCACCTCATGAATATAGTACTCATAGTTGCATGCGCACTTCATTCATGACACATGACACACATACACCTTGTGCAATTATTGCATGACCGTATTACCGTAGCATTTCCCAATGCCCTTGGGGCCCCTAGCGTTTTGGCGGCCCACATGTGTCAATACATTTTCTACCCACCTAGTGGGAGCATAAAATTGTGTTTCGTTCCACTTTACTCTTCACTCTGATGATCTACACCTAGTAGTGAAACCGGTCAGCCAAAAGTAAACTTTCAAAGAATGTCACACTTGTTTGTGCAGTTTGTGTCGGGGGTATCACTTCATTAAGATCCGTGAGCGTTTTTGGTGCAGACTTAGGCTCAGAGGCTATCCTCCACATTTCTTGGCTCCTATCTTCATGAATATTGAACCTCGTGTTACACATCATTCTGCTGCCAAGAAAGCGAAGACCAGCCACAACAGGAATACAATTACATTTGTTACTTCCTATCACCCGCATTTTGCAAGAAATCGTCTTAGAACGATATTAACAGAATCTTTCTCCTCTTCCAATGTTGAGATCTTCTATCGCAAAACGAAACAATTGTTTCACTGAAGCTGGTTTCTGATAAACATTTTCAAATGTTTGTTCTCTTTTCTCCATTCTCCATACTTTCATTGTTTGCAGGCTTAGTCGCCTGCATTTAGGCGGGGTCCAAGCTTTGGATCCCGCCTAAAATTCAATTCACCTCATGAATATAGTACTCATAGTTGCATGCGCACTTCATTCATGACACATGACACACATACACCTTGTGCAATTATTGCATGACCGTATTACCGTAGCATTTCCCAATGCCCTTGGGGCCCCTAGCGTTTTGGCGGCCCACATGTGTCAATACATTTTCTACCCACCTAGTGGGAGCATAAAATTGTGTTTCGTTCCACTTTACTCTTCACTCTGATGATCTACACCTAGTAGTGAAACCGGTCAGCCAAAAGTAAACTTTCAAAGAATGTCACAGCACGCACTCGTTATGGCTTATTCGCTTTGAGCTTTCTGGCTTCTGACCGCTGGAATTCTCTTCCAGCTGACATTCGCTCTTGCTCCTCGCTTTCACTATTCCGCAAATCTATACGTGACCACATAGGGTACCCTGTAAAAAGGCCTTAGGCCTGTGGGGATTGCCCTATTCAAAATTTAAATAATAATAATAATAATAATAAACACTTGTTTGTGCAGTTTGTGTCGGGGGTATCACTTCATTAAGATTGCTGTCTGCAGATGCACATTTCGCGCGAATGGATTCACGTGACCATACAGGACTGTAGAAGTGGACTTTTGGCGGCATACACATGATACATGTATCAGTATTTGACCCGGGTCAACTGTCTTCATGTAAACGCTCACCTCTTTTGTCTATCGTACAGACTTTCAACCTGGGCTGAACTCGACCCGGGTTGAAATTTCCCATGTAAACACAGCCGGCCTGATATAGGGCTTGAAAGTGATGACGTCAAAAACGGCCTGGGAGTAGTAAATTGACATCAGATTTCTATTTTGGATCCACTAAGGTGTGACTTTGCTATTGCCTCAGTATGTGGGTGCATAGCAACCCACTCATGTCGTATGCAGGTGCAACTTTTACTTCGCCACCAGTTGTCACCCCGCCCCCACTAGCCAAATCAGTCAGTTTCACTGGCAACATCACCTTGCTGTGAGTGAGACCGCTTGAAATGTGCTTGGATCCATACAAAAACTGGATCCAGGTGGATCCAGTTTTCGAATTTTTCAAATTGTTGCTATGCCATTGCTATGGAGTGACGTAGCACTTTCAAGCCCTATTATGAGGCTGTGTTTACATGAGAAATTTCAACCCGGGTCGAGTTCAGCCCGGGTTGAAAGTCTGTACGATAGACAAAAGAGGTGAGCGTTTACATGAAGACAGTTGACCCGGGTCAAATACTGATATGCCGCCAAAAGTCCACTTCTACAGTCCTGTATGGTCACGTGAATCCGTTCGCGCGAAATTTGCCGTTCAAACCTGGCGCGAGAGCCGCACAGAAGTACATTTGTACGATTTTCTTGACCCGGGTTGATTTCAACCCTCCCCTTGGGGGGAGGGTTGAAATCAACCCGGGGCGAAATTTCAACCCGGGTCAAGCGCAATGCGTTATATAAACGTTAAACGCGCAATTCATTTTATGCACATGGCGGGTTGAAATCTGACCCGGGTCGAACTCAACCCGGGTTGAAACGCCTCATGTAAACACCGCCTGAGAGTCATGACTACAATCTGTAGTCAGAGCTCGACCTCGAGTGGTCGGTTGTCGCTCTCTATCAGACTATCTCCGAGCGCTGTAGAGTCGACGTACAGTACGCTCGTACACATGGCACATGCATAATTATGCGGTGTGACCATGGTGACGGACGCAGAGAGAGGCCGCTACCGCTCCGTGAGCTATGCTATGCAGTATGCGCCTACTGCTTGTAGGCTAGGCTATGGTCCATATGGACGGTACGGCGCCGGTATACCAGCTTCCGGTTGGCCTGCCAACTGATGCAAATCGCGGAGTGTACACGTGCACGTCCACGCTGGAGTCGAAAGTGGTTCTGTGGCCGGCTAGCATCAAGTGTACTCTTGCCAGCATATTGTACATGTACGGATGTACAATAAAGTACTCATAAACTGATCAAGGTTCAGCTCGTGTACTCGTAGTGTGCTTTGAGTGTGAGCCTCAATGCGGACCCGGACGAAGGCGAAGATTGGACTTTTGAGTGGAGAGCGCTTTTGGTGAAGCTGTATGACCAGATGACTGTACAGTAGCTGTGTGGCTTATTTTTGTTTGTTGTGCATTTCGGGAGAATGAAATTTCGATTGGACAGAACAGCAGTGTGTGATTACCAACGGGGGAGCCACAGTGAAGTAACAGTTGCCTGTGTGCGTGTATACTCTTTGCCTCTACTTTGAACCAGTTGCCGTTTTCACGCCAGTGCCTCCTGCTGATCCTTGTCGATGATTATCGGATCAGAGAAGTGAATGCATGCAGTCGAACCAAGAGAGCTTGTTCAATCAAATCCGTGCGGAGTTCTAGACTTTGCAAGTCTTCTCACTTTGGGCATGGCCCGAGTGTGCCTTCGCGGCTCTTGCTTCACTCCTATCTGAAACTATAGATTTTCTCGTCTTGTCTCTTCAAGATCCGAAGAGCCGTGCCCGACTGTATGAGTCTGTGTGTCGATGTGCTGAGTTTGATGCCGTTTCTGGTTTCGGAGCCAATGACAACAGCTGTCTAGAGAGTTGGTTAGTGTGTATTGGATTGTGTGTGTTTGACATCGTGGTAGCTCACCTACCAGCAAGATGAACCACAATGGAGAGAAGCCTGTGCGAAAAACCATGTCGGCGGGTGCCAATTCAACTTACTCCGTAAGCATCGACCATGGTACGCAGAATGGACTGAAAGCGCCTGACACTGATAGCTTGGGTCTAGTTCCTGACTTGGTCGTTGGTGAGGAAGAAGGCAACGGAGTGAGAGTCCCAGGAATGATGGACATGATACAGAAAAACAGTGGCTCCTCGCCCGCGGATCGGTGGCGCAAACTGTCCATTGGTGCAGTATCGGTGCAGGATGATACCATATCCCAATGTGGCTCGATCTCGTCTGGGGTCAGCAGCAACGCGCCGACAACGTCTTTTTACGACTCATCAAGATCGGTGACCTGCAGGCGAACCCTCCGTGGTCTTCAGTAAGTTTGTACACACGTACACGCACGTACACACGTACACGCACGTACACACGTACGTACACACGTACGTACACACGTACGTACACACGCACACACACACACACACACACACACACACGTACACAGACACACACACACACACACACACACACACACACACACACACACACACACACACATGACACAACAACAAAGTTACATACACGCACAACCCCCCCCCCCCCCACACACACACACCTTGACCTTGACAAACAGCGTGCCGTTAAACGGCTAAGTTGCCCTCCTGAGGAGGGGAACAAAGGCCCACACACAGACACACAGACACAGACACACACACACACCACACACACATCACACACACCACACACACACCACACACACCACACACACACACCACACACACACACCACACACACACACACACACACACACACACACACACACACACACACACACACACACACACACACACACACACACACACACACACACACACACACACACACACACACACACACACACACACACACACACACACACACACACACACACACACACATGACACAACAACAAAGTTACATACACGCACCTTGACCTTGACAAACAGCGTGCCGTTAAACGGCTAAGTTGCCCTCCTGAGGAGGGGAACAAAGGCCCACACACAGACACACAGACACAGACACACACACACACCACACACACATCACACACACCACACACACACCACACACACCACACACACACACCACACACACACACCACACACACACACACACACACACACACACACACACACACACACACACACACACACACACACACACACACACACACACACACACACACACCTTGACCATGATACACGTTGCAGTGGCGGGTTTAGGGGGGGGGGGGGCGCCCCCCCCCTCCCCTCAAAAGTTTCGACCTAGGTTTCGAAAAATAAAAGGCAGGGCGCCAGGGCTAGCTAGACTAGGCTCGGGGCGCGCGCGGCCTGAAACGATCGTCCAAAAGCGGTTGCACGGTAGATCCACGGTGCTCGAGCAAGTGACTAGTGTTGATTGTACACACTACAGATTAGTAGATCTACAGTACAGTCTACAGAGTACGTAGACTCTACAGACTAGTGAGCATGCACGGCTACAGAAACACGGTGACCTGACTGTGTACTGTTGTACAGTGTGATCCCTGCTGGGACGCGCTCGACGCGTCTTCAACGTTACGTCCAAACATCGAAGAAAAGTTTTCGATCGAATCAACCAAAACACGATTCGAATGCCGAGGGCTGGCGATCATCCTCGTTCGAATCGTGTTCTGGTTGACTCGAAGACTTTTCTTCGATGTCTCAGCGACATCCCAAAAGGCCAAGCTCTAGCCAGCAGAGCCTGGAATTTTTGTAAAGCGTTCCTGTGGTGGCGCAACTCCTGCTGCCGCTCCAACAGGAAACAGTAGGAGTGATGAAGTCGCTGTTATTCCAGTTGAGCTTTCGGAGCGGACTGACAGTCACACTCCGCCAGACGTGGAAGAACCTGTTGTCAGCGAGCAGCCAGAACATGAAGAAC